GGTCAGAGACAAAGATGAAGACCTCCAGCGAGATGGATCGGCAAAGTAGCAGCATCAATGGGCTCAAGCGTGGCAACAATTGTTATGTTGTCCCAGTACCGGGCAGTGTTTTGTTCTGTTGTGCATAGGCTCGCTATGAGTCAGTACCGACTCGATGGCACCTAACAATACAAAAACAACCACACTGCAGGCTGTAGTCTTGTTCTGCACCAGTTATGTGCTTCAAGTCTCCTTCACTTTCAGCAAGGAAGGTGGTGTTATCTACACATCACATGTTGTTAATGAATCTTCCTCCAATTCTGATGCATGTTTTTTTTTTTTTATACATTGCAACGTCTCAGGTTATTTGTTCAGCACACAGATTGAGTAAGCATGGTAAAAGAATATAACCCTGATGCAAACCTTTTCTGATTTTAAACTGCACAATTATCTCCTTGTTCTGTTCCAACAATTAGTTCTTGGTCAATGTACAAGTTGTTAATGAGGAAAAATAAGTGTTCTGGAAATCCCATTCTTAGCAATGGTATCCATAATTTGTTATGATCCACACAGTTGAACACCTTCATATTGGCAATCTAACACAGGGAAATATTTTTCTGGTATTGCTTTCAGCCAAGATCTATGTAACATCAGCAATGATATCCCTGGTTCCACATCCCCTTATGAATCAGGCTTGAATTTCTGGCATTTCCCTGTTGATGTACTGCTGCAACCATTTTTGAATGACCTTCAACAACATTTTACTTGAATGTGACATTAATGATACTGTTCAATATTTTTCTCATTCAGTTGAATTATCTTTCTTCGGAATGGGCACATATATAGGTATCTTCTAATTGGGTGGCCAGACAGTAACTTTCAAATTTCTTGGCAGAACACTTGAGCACTTCCAGGCATGAATCCATTTCTTGAAACATCTAAATTACATCTCAAAAACATCTTTAAAATAAGTCGATAAGAGTCAGAGTACATCCTTGAGTATATCCTACTTGAATTTAGAGACCACCTCAAGGATAGTTCTGATGCGATGACCACTAATGACCAAAGATCAGAAGAGTTGTGGACATCAAGAACATCATACATGAAGAAGGAAAAGGTCATTAAAAATCAAGGAAGACAGATAAGATGAAAAATGGATGTCAGAAAAATTCTGAAACTTACTCCTGAACAAAGAGTAGCTATAATGAATGAAATAAATAATGAAGTAAAAGAGCTGAACAGAAGGAGTTGCTTGAGAAGACAAAGTAAAGTACTAAACTGAAATGTGCAAAGACCTAGAGTAAGAAAACCAAAAGACTACAATACAGTTGGTATTTCTCTAGCTGAGAGAATTAAAGAAAAATTCAAGAATTGAGTTGCAATATTGTACGATTGTGTACAGGCAAAATATTGAACAAAGCAGGGAACATCAAACATCAAAGATGGAAGACATATCGAGAGCCATGGTACCATTTCAGGAGGTAGTGTATGATCAAGAACTGATGGCAGTAAAAGAAGAAATCCAAGCTGTACTGAAGGCAATGGCCAAAAACAAAGCTCCAGGAATTGATGGAATACCAGTTGAGATGTCTCAACAAATGGATGCAAATGTGGACATTACTGCTCAGTTATACCTCAATCCGATTTTAAATATTTAGGGAATCTAAACCATTTCTACTTAGGATGTCTTCTCTTGACAGGTTTACTAACCTGTTATGCTCATGTGAATTCAATGTGTACTGAAATATTACCACCTGGCCAGTACTCAGGTATCTAACGTGGTTCTAAAGCGCCGTTGAGTTGGTTCTGACTCATAGAGACCCTGTCTAGGGATTTCTAAGGAGCAGTTGATGGGTTTGAACCGCCGACCATGTGGTTAACAGTCCAGTGCTCATCCTACAGCACCACACCAGGACTTCAACAGAGAACCCATAACCAAAGTGGAAAACAGGTCCATGACAGACCGAATCATTTCAGATTAAAAAACTTACACTCTGTTCTTCCATCTGTCTCCACAGATCTATTTTTGTTGGCTCTTAATGAGCTGGAGCTGACTTGATGGCACTGGGCTTGGCTTGAGTTTAAGATCCTCAAAAAGAACTTTTTTGGGGCATGCCAGGTAACTTTTTTTCAAGTTTATTTTATATAACACCCTATATTCAATGAGAACCTATAAATTCAGACGTAGCTCAATCATGAAGGTATTATTTGGAGGATGAAAGTAAATTGCTTTTTGTTTTTCTCCATTTGCTGCCTATCTTTTGACCATTTTAGTCTTCTCCCCAAGTAACAGCAGGAAAAGAGCATGGAGCTGCACGTCCAAGGCGCTCTTCCTGATGAGTGGCTGGGTGGAGGAGGGCACTGACATAACTGACTCTGAACTCAGGCTCCTCAAATTGCCCACAACTGCAGAGAGGAGCAAACAGATAATGGTGAGGGTGCATTTATGAGTATTGTGTGTAAGGAAAAAACCCTACAGTCACAGCTGATGGGTGGATGGGGGAGATGGAGGAAGGAGACTGGGAAAAAGGACATGGGAGAGAGACTCAACAAGTCTTCTCACAGAAGCAATGGCAGCCAGACAGAACACACACATTTCCTGGAGTTCAGAGAGCTAGGTAGCTCCTCTCTGCCAGTATGTTTAGAATTAAGAAGCATCCCTCACACTGAAAAGCAGGTTAATAAGAAAATCTGTGGCTGCCAAGTACAAACTGCTCATGTCAAGGGGACAGGACCAAGATGCTCTCAGCATGACTGTGCTACTAACAAGCCAGACAGAAAGGACTTCACCCCATATTTGAGCTCCTAACAAGAGGTGAGAGGGTCAAGTTCTACCTAAGGGTAAAGCATTCTCAACACTAGTGTTTTGTTGATCATGCTTGTGACAACCGACCCAAAATAGATACAGTAATCAGAGATCTCTAGGAGGGAAAGGGTAAGGTGGCTCAGAACCTTGGGGTTGGCAGAGGAAATGAATGCTGGGTCACAAAAGGTCTTGGTAAAAGAGATGTCCAAGTAGCAAAACAGGCAAGGGCAGGAAAAGCAATGAGGAGACATCATTTTTGGAGCTTGACTAAAGGAAGTATAAAGAAGGCTAAGCCCAGACAGAGTCCTCAACGGAGACACAGTACTATACGTTCACTGTCCCAACACTAATGACGTGTGCCAAAATCATGTTCAATGCCCTATCTGTAGACACAGGTTTTAAGATACAAGTCTTTATAATTAAAAAATAAAAAACAGTGTAGGGAAGAAGGGCACTAGGAATCAAGAGAAATAGTAAGGCTAAGAAGAAAAATCCAGTATTTGAAGGAAATCAAAGTTTGAATCCTTATATTATTTTGGGACAAATTAATCTTGTCTAGTTTAGTTTCTCCATCTGTAAAATGGGGATAACAACATCTGTTGTAACCTATATGCCAACTAAGGTTTTCCTGTCCTTAGTATTTGTAAATGACTGCTTCAAGTCCCCCAAGTAGCTGGTCTCAGAGGAACAAAGTACTTTCCTAAGACCTGAGCAAATTCTCAGGAATTTTCTTATGGTCTCTTCAGATCTCCGCCACCTATGCTGTGCTCCTGGAGATTCTCTTTGTTCTTCCCTAAGTCAATCCAGACCCAAAATTCTGCCTCTTCACCACTTTCCCCAACCAGAACATTCAATTCCGGAGTTTCCCTAACACTGAATATTTATAGAACATGAGCTGGGAACATAAAGGAGGAGAGTGTGCCGATATGTAAATTCATTCATTTTTCCTCCTCCTCTTCTCCTCACCCCGACACCTCTCCTGAACTAGCTCACTTTTTCCAGGGTCACAATGAGTCGAACCGACTTGGATGGCACTTAACAACGACAATAACCGTGCCCTATATCTCCCCTTCTCCTGATGCCTCAGCATACATTACCGTATGACTTCACAGGGTGTGACTTGTGGGAGACAAAGAATATAACACAGGGTTAGTGCCTCACCCACAGCATACACTAAGCACTGCTGTGGTTGTCAAGTGTTGTCAGGAGGGTTCTGACTCAGAGCAACCCTGTATAGGGTTTCCAAGGAGCAGCTGGTGGGGCTGAATTGCTGGCCTGTGGTTGGTAGTCATGAGCTGATCCCACAATGCCACACTAGGACTCTAGACACTAAGTGCTGGCGGTGGTGTGCCATGAAATATGTTCTAACTCATAATGACCCTGTATAGGGTTTCTGAGGCTGTAAATCTTTACGGGAGCAGAAAGCCTCATCTTTCTCCCGCGGAATTGCTGGTAGTTTCGAACTGCTGACCTTGAGGTTAAAAGCTTGACTCATAATCACTATGCTCCCACTAGAAGATGCCTTTTTAATAGTGATGACAAGTAGATTTTGTCCCTGAAGAGACCATACCTACACCAACTCAGGAGAACAATCACTTCCAAAGGGAGGACTTTTGATTTTGACTGGGTGAGGTCATTACCGACAGCATATGATAAAAAGCTAAGAAAGTCTCAATCTTTCCTTGAGAACACAATCATTGTGATAAGAGAGTAGAGTTCATTCACTCATCACAGTAGTGTCTCTGCCCTGTCCCAAGCATGCAGTCACCATATGCAGTCAGACAGACAACTGCATAGGAGCAATGCATTGAAAGCCTCCTCAGACCACCTCAAGATACGAGAGAAAATCGTTCAGAAGCACTGTTTCCACCAAGGCCTTCTGGCAAGCTGTCATTTAATGTCAATTATTTTTCTTCTACTTAGATGTTGTTTTGTGTTCAAACACAAAACAGCAGCTCTTAAACAAGGTAAAAAAAAACAAAACTCTCCACCCATCTCAAAACATATCTGAGGTGGCTTCCAGAAGTTCATGGGGTAATTCGATGATCTTTGAATTCCCACTTTCCCATGAAGTTTCTGATGCCTCTTGTTGCACTCCACCAAAGGAATGCAGATCACCATGCTGATAAAGCTGGTCATTCATCTAGATTTTAAATCTAGTTAACCTTAGGCTAAGTAATTAAAGACCTTCTTAGATGCAAAGCACATTACTCACCTTCCTCAAAGTTGGCGTTCTTCTTCCTCACTAGAACCCGGAAGTTTTCAGCAGGATTCACACTTCCAACCTAGAACACATCCACATACAACAAACCTGTAGGTTGCCTCTCTTTTTAGCAGTGCCCTAGGCAATACAAGAGACTTAATGCAGTCAGTGAGCTCTTATAAAAATAAAACCAAAGACAAAGAAATGGCACTTTCTATGCATGTTCATTTCCAGGGTGCTGGTAAAAGCCAGCATGTGGGGAAATGCAGAACAGAATTTCAAATTCTCAGAGACTCCAGACTTTCCTGGAGCCGTGGCAGCTGGAAGAACCCCAGAAACTCTTGCCCTGAGATCATCTTTAACCTTAAAACCAAAAAACATCCTCTGAAGTCTTGCTCTGGTAGTGTGTTGTTGTTGTTGTTGAGTGCCATCGAGTCGGGTCCGACCCATAGCGACCCTGTACAGGGTTTCCGAGGGTGTAAATCTTTACGGGAGTAGAAAGCCTCATCTTTCTCCCGCGGAGCGGCTGGTAGTTTCGAACCGCTGACCTTAAGGTTCGCAGCCCGATTCGTAACCACTACGCTACCAAATTGGGCTGCTAACCTCAGGGTCAGCAGTTCGAAACTACCAGCTTTTCCATGAGAGAAAGATGAGGCTTTCTGCTCCCGTAAAGATTTGCAGCCTCGGAAACCCTGTACAGGGTCACTAAGAGTCGGAACTGACTCCATGGTACTTAACAACAACAACAAAGTCTTCTTAAAACAGAACAATAGTTTAGCTTAACTAGTAAAAAATATCTTCTTTGAGTGCATGCACTTTTAAGAACTGTCGACATGTGGTGCTCCAGGTCAATGTGCTGGACCGCCAGGTCAGTTTAAACCGAAGGTCAGCGGTTCAAGTTCACCAGCCACTCATTGGAAACCCTATATAGGACCACTATGCGTTGGAACTGACTTGACCTCGATAGCAGCTCACAACATGGGACCAAATTGACAGGAGCAACTCTGAAGTTTGATAGGAACCTTAGGACGCATGTTAACCGAGAGGTCCAACTCAGCTAAGACGGCAGGGAACAGTTACACCAGTGGAAGAATGTCATCAATGTCCATAAATGGTAGATGTAGAAACAGTTGAATTGAGCTATGTTTTGCTGTGTATATTCTCAACAACAACAAAATAAATGTATTTTTTTTAAAAAGCCAACAGATTCCTGTGGTCACATAGCTGTTGTCTGTCCTTCACTTCTCTTTATGCAAGCTGTCTTCTCTCCCCAGGGCTTAGACTTATTGTACACCAACTCACCAGCCAGCCCAGCTGGAAGCCTTTATGCGGCAAAGCCGGCCTGGGCACCTGAAGCCCAACCAATTAGGAAGGGAAGGCGGTGCAAAGGCAAGGCCTTTCAAAGGACCTCTGCTCCATTAAGATAATGGAGAAATAGCTTGGTGTTTGATTCTCTGCATGGCTTTCTTCGGGGCTCTTACTCACCCGTTGGCATGGAAGATTTGGTAAATAAAGTAGTCCCCAAGTTGAACATGTTCCCCCAAAGAGAAAGCAAAGCAGGTCTAGTAGGAAAGTTTACTGCAGTTTCAAAGATAGGCATCTCTGCCACTTTCTGATCAGATAGGTATCTGTGTGTTTCATCTTCCAGTCCCCCCTTTAAGGATGTGTGTACCACTCATATCACAGGGGAGACAAATACGAGGGTCTCCTGTGGGCTGGTAAACTCTATTACAAGATATACATGGTTTCCGCCTTGCTGGTATAGCAAGCAGGAAAGCTTTCAGACAAATAAGGTCAGGATTTGCCCCTTACTGGAAAAGTAAACAACGATATAAAATCCAAATCATTTTTCTAGACATTCAGTTTTTCTGAGCGCATTTCTGCTTGAGGGGAGAATCAAAGGCATGTCCTTGGGCTGGCTGTCCTGAGTGCATTTTGCTAATAAGGGACAATTTTAAAGATCTATGGATTAAAGACAATGCTGCTTAAAATAAGGGGATACGTTCGAGCTCTAAAATTTTCTCATTAAATAAAAGAAATCTCAAGGACAGTGGTTTGGGCAAATCCAAACTTAAGAATCTTGTTCTAAAGTTGCATATTAAAAAGGAAACGGAAGAGTTATCCTAATTTACATTTCACTTAATTAGAGATTGACACTCACAATACTAGCGCCCAGTTATCCTATCTTTTTGTATCATTTGGAGTCCTGGTGTGGCACTGCAGGATAATGCACTGGACTGCAAAGTCGGTTTGAACCACAAGGTTGACGGTTCAAGCTCACCAGTCACTCCTCAGAAACCTTACACAGGGTCACTATGTGTTGGAATCGATGTGACGGCACTTAACAACATCCTATCATTACGACTAAGTGGAAAGTGGCAAAACAAAGCTAATTAAGAGAGAGAAACCTGCATAAAGTGCTACCACTGGTGTGTTCCCTGCTCTATTATTACCTAGAGTTCTACGTACTATATGAATGGTTTTCAAAAAGTTAGCAGAAGAATTCTAGTATCTTTTAATTCTGTTTTTCCAGGAACTTTCTGATGTCTCTCCTGTATTTTGCAGCTAATTCTACTGGTAATTCACTGATAATAATGGTATAAAGGAAGATGGGCAGGATAAGCCTTTATAGTTTCTGTACGGAGAGCTAACAGACACCAATGCACTCTTGTTGTTAAGAGAGGAAGCAGTCTGGAGAAACTCTGCTTACACTGGTCACACTGCCTTCAGCCAGGCTGGAGATACTAAAGTGGACGTCCCCTTCCTGGGTCTTGCATTTTTTAGAGGCTGGTCCTTCTTCACGGCTAGAGAAAAAACAAACAAGGGAATTATTTTTCCCTCTTCAAATAAGTGATAGGAAAACCAGAATTGCTGAGGTGGGAAGTGTAATCTTATTTCCCAAGCACAAAGGATAAACAGCCACACTTAGTCCCTCTTTACAAACAGCCTGCTTCCTTCTCCCAGCCTCAGACTTTCTGACAGGTGCCTGCCTGGAGCAGTTCGGCTCTGCTTTGCAGCGATATACAAATTGAATTGGCAGTCACATCACAAAGTCCTCTTCAAAAGGTGAACCTGCAAGCACAGGTAATGGAAACCTAACTTTTCAGTATGAAATTCATTTACTCTTCTGGTAGTAGCTGCTCATTCCTGTCTCAGAATTGATAGCTATTGTTCTCCATGTGCAAAGAATAGTTTAGTAACCCATCATTTTCATCATGTATGCAAGAGCTTTATGAGCTCCTACTTAGAACTGTCAGAACTCAGTTGATAATCCTTAATGTGCAAGAGTTTGTGCTTAAAGAAATCTTAATCCTTTTTTAATCAGTGGAATATACATTGCCACTTAAATTGTCTGTCTCTGAGATTTACCGGGAAGCTGCTATCCCACTTTTGGCATGTGCTGTCCTCTGGAAGGGACCTGTAAAACTGCGTGGATCTTAAGAAATGGGCCTCTTCCCACCAACCCTAGTACCAGAGACATCTTGGGAGATATGTGTCCCACTAACTGTATTAAAAATCCTTATTACTGAAAAAAAGTTGATTTCATTTAATTCAAAATACATTCCATTACTGAAAATACATGATTTCAAAAAACAAAAATTCAAAGCAGAAAATAACTTGGTCATTAAATGATTTTTTAAAAATACTTTCAAAAGAAAATCCATAATTTTTCTAATATATCATACTCTGTTTTAGACAAAATGTTAATAAAGTCCAGTAGCATCTGTATGCTAGAGAGACATAACTCCAAGAGAATACATCAAAACCATGCCTCCAGTAACTTGGTCAAGTTAATTACCAAAGAGAAGAAAATCAAATCCAAAGAGTCTGCCCATAATCTTCCATAAACTGCTGCACACAAAGGTAGAACGATGTCTAACAGACATAATAATCTATCTGGGACAAAAGTAGTTGTTAAGAAATAACTGAATGATAAGAAAACTAGTAACTAAGATGCATATCAGTTTTTTTTTTAAATCCCAATCTTCAGGAAATAGACACGAAAAAGAAGTAATCCTGAAAATTAAACAAGAAAAGTAAGGAATAAGCTGGCTCACACAGTGGTATTCCAACAATAAGTCATCTCTTGCAGCTGGATAACAGAACTAAAGTAATCACTGTTAGTTGTTGTTAAGGACTGTTGAGTCAGTTCAGAACCATAGTGACCTTGTAGAGGGTTTCTGAGGAGTAACTGGTGAGCTTGAACCACCAACCTTGTCATTCAAACCAACCTTGCAGTCCAGCACATTAACCCAGACCAGGACTCCAAAGAATCACTGTTGTTAAGTGCCGTCGTTGACGAGGGTTTTCTAAGGAGTGGCTGGTGAGTTTGAACCGCTGACCTTACGATTGAAAGCGACCTTGCTTTCCAGTGCATTGTCCTGCAGCTTCACACCAGGAGCCTCACAAACCTTACAAAAGCCTTACAAAAACAAACACAAAAATAGGCACAAAGTGGCTGGCTTACAAATCTTTAAGAGGGAGTTTAGTTTCAGAGTGTGTGGGGGCGGGCGGTATTGATTGAATCCCCATTGAATAGCTTTCTTCTTGTCTAGATGGGTCTGGTGAAAGGAGATGGGATAAGATTTTTATTATTCAACAGTAATTGTTATCATGACTAAATGCGATTGTCACAACTATAAAGGCAGAAGTACTGTAACATAAAGAGGGGAGTAGTAAATCTTACATTCCAGGAACAGAGGACCCTAGGGCCATAAAGGGAAAAGAGCATGAGTGGAATGTGGGACCCTGTCCAGAGAAGCAGCAACACCAGAGATGGGAGGCAAAGATGATGATATGGAGAAATTGAGCAGTTGAGGACTCTAGACTCACGGAAAGAGAAAGTCTATGAGCTGGAGGCCAGGAGAATGTGCCCTATGGTTGTTTACATGATTATATATTCCTGAGTGTTTCTGTGTACGTAAAAAAAAAAAAAAAAGAAAGAAAGAAAAACACCACAAAAAACTAGAGGGAATAGAAGTGAATACTGTTGAATGATGATGCCTTGACGGGATTGTAATCATTGCGATGAAATGAAACATGATAGGATGAGTAGATAACCAATATTCTCCCATATAACCCATCACTCATTTCACAACAAAAGCTTAAAAAAAAAAGAAAGAAAAGCGTAAAGGAGCAGATTTGAATCACTGGAAGCCCGGATTAGTTTTAGTCCCTTATTTAATAGTTGAATACTTTAATAGCTTAAAACTTTGGCACAAGGGAAAATTGTGGTCAATATAACCAATTTGATTTGAAAATGTCCACATTCTTATTTTTATTTTCTCTATGGTTGCTTATCACAAGAGAAAGCTGAGGCGTTCTGGTTCTGTAAAGATCTGCAGGCTTGGGAACCCTATGCAGAGTTGCTGTGAATCAGCACTGACTCCAAGGAACATAAATAACCAACACCATGGTGGCTTCTGCAGATACAACAGCAGAGGTGAATAGTTCCAACCGAAAGTTTATGGTTTAAAACACTGAAAACATTTACTACCTTGCACTTTGTTGATCTCTGGTTTAGGCAGTCTGAATGTGGACGTCTCCATTTTTTTGCCTATAACAAGGCCTACATGAAGTTAGGACAATGAATTAAAAAAAAAAAAAAAAGTTTTTTTGTTTTTTAAAACTTCTTTGCACTAATTAAACTATGCTTGACTGTATGCATCCAGACAACATTAACATTCAAGTCAACATTATAAATTTGTCAACTGTTTTTTCTAGTTTGAATATATTAAATTTAGTATCTCAGCAAAGCAAATACTAGCTACAACCAGAATTAATTATCAACACTTTTCTAATTTTTTTTTTACAGAAAGATGAAGAGAGCCTTAATTGATGACAATAAGTTTTGAGACAGATTAGATGACATACAAGCAAAAATTAAAAGTATTTTTGCAACTCAAGTATCTTTAGCAAACAAAAACTAAAATCAAGATAACGCTGTACAGCACTATCCATTTATTTTTTTCCACTCTATAACTAATTGCCTGATTATATGACAACGTTTTAATTTAAACAGCAGAAATTATTTTGGCAAATTTACTTCCAATAGCTGAAATTTTGTACACACTCAATGATAAATGAACCAAGTTGATCAATAAAAAATGGAAAGGAGATTAATAAAACTTCCACAAAAATAGTTGTAAAAATATAAAAGGAGCAATTGAAATTTATGACAATGAAAACAGTAATAGAACAAACTACTGATTGTCAACTATTTTTACTTTTTTTGTACACTGTGGTGTTCTGAATTTATATGATATGGTTTTCTATCCAAAGTCATCTTAATTCCCACCAAGTGATGGGTGGGACCATGCAAATAAGGTGTACAGGACTCTAAGGCTGGGATTGGTTAGTTTTGCCATCCACCTAGGTTTAAAAGGAGCCATCTCAGAAGAAGAGAGAGAAGATCCCACGACCATCAAGAAGTAAAGCATGAGTGAAGCGTGGGATCCCTACCTAGTAAACAGAGATGGCAAGGGTGATGGCAGAAGTGGGGACATAGAGCAGCTATGGAAAGACTATAAAGCTGAGTGCCTATGGGCAGGAGACTTATTTGAATATTGTGTCCTTTGGGCATTCACAGACTGACTAAAAGAACTTTGTAACACTTACTTGAGCAGGACAGAGGCCAAGGGACTGCATCCATGACTGAGAGACCGAAGAAAAGAGTGAGGCACACCTCTAGTATGACAGACAAGAGGCATTCCTAACTGGAGAAATGCTGCATCCTGAATTGTACCCTGCTCACTTCCCTAATAAATCCCATCATCGTGAAAAAGCAAATCAAAACAAAACACGTATTATAAAGTTTTATTACGCAACATCTTTTCCAGTCACTATTTGCTGCTCCTTCTTACCCTCTGAGACAACAGAGACAACGTTAAGCAGAAGACAGAAAGATGGGGATCAAGAAACATTAAGAGAGGTGAGTCATCAAGTAAAATAAAAAATAAATATGCAAAAGTCTTGGTGGCAAGAATGGAATAAAAATATACTTACCCAAACCAAAAACCAAACCCTGGATTTGGAGTCGTGGTCTTTGAAACAGTAAATCTTTGCAGGAGCAGACAGCCTCGTCTGTCTCCCGGGGAGCAGCTGGTGGGTTTGAATCACTAACCTTGCCACCCACTGCTCCACCTGACCTTGCACTTATCCAAGGAAGCAGAACATTTTATTAGAATTTGAGTCCATTAAAAAAATTTTTGTTGTTAAAGACCAGGACCATTTCATCAGTTGAGTCTTTGCATGTTATTCTCAACAGACAGACAATAAGTTACTACTAAAGATCAACTGGACTCTCAGAGGGGCGCTGCAGGATCAGCTATGAACCACATGGTCGGCAGTTCAAACCCACTAGCTGCTCGTTGGAAAGCCTATACAGGGTCACTAGTGCAGAGTCAGAAGTGACTCGCTGGCACTTGACAAAACATCAGACTGGCCCTGGAACTTGAGGTAAGTCACTACTGTCTCTGAGCTTCTCTTTTGTCATCAGGAAAATGCTATGATGCAGCTCACCACAGCACTACTCACAACAGCAAAAAGATAAAAAACCACCTACATTTTCCATTAGTGGAAAAATGCACAGACTTTGATATGTACGCATAAAAGAATACTACTCAACGTTAAAGAATCACAATGAATCTGAGAAATATAACACGGATGAACCTGCAGGACACTGAGAGAAATCGGTCCAACACAAAAGTACAAACACTGTATGAGATCACTAATGTAAACCGTCAAGAAAAGGGTTTCACTCTCTAAGAAGCATTCTTTGATGGTTAGCAGGGGTGGAAGTGAT